AACAAGGGTAAACTATCTTGGGGAACAAATACAAATGGATTTAGTTGATATGGGTTCTTATAAGTATAAAAACAATGGTTATTATTGGATTTTAACAGCTGTTGAAATATTAAGTAGATATGCATTTACTATCCCTGTTTATAGGAAAGACACAAATAATATGACAAAAGCTGTTGAAAAACTATTAAGTCAATTTAAAGATAGATTTAATGAATACCCGAAACTAGCTCAATTTGATGATGGTAAAGAATTTTATAATGTAGGTGTTAAATCATTAGAGAAACATGGAATTAAGTACTTCTCTACTAAAAATAGTAAAAAAGCTTCTATTGTCGAACGATTCAACAGAACGCTTAAAACATCTATGTGGAAATATTTTTACAGTAAAGGAACATATAAATGGATTGATATATTGGATGATTTAGTATATAATTATAACAATACAAAACACAGTACAATCTTGATGAAGCCTAAAGATGTTAATAAAAATAATGAAGATGAAGTATGGAATACATTATACGGTCATGAAGTTGCTTATTTACCATTACCTAAGATTAAAATTGGTGATATGGTTAGAATATCAAAGTATAAATCTATATTTACGAAAGGCTATGAAGCAAATTTTACAGAAGAGCTTTTTAAAGTGACTAAAGTTATTAGAGGAGACCCTAATTTATATGAGATAGAAGATTTAGAAGGAGAGCCTATAATTGGTAAATTTTATGAAGAGGAACTATCAGTTGTGAATAAGAAAGATGATGTTTATAGAGTTGAAAAGATATTAAAACGTAAGAAGGTTAAAGGTAAAAAGATGGTTTTAGTTAAATGGTTTGGTTATGATAATAAACATAATAGTTGGATTCCTGAAAGTGAAATACAAAATATAGAGTAATCTATATAATGGATGAAGGAGGTTATGATTATATTGAATTAGAAGATAAGAAGAAAGAAGATAATAATAATGATAATGAAGATAATAAGCAAGAAGATAATGAATATTATTATGAAACATCATTTACTGATTATAATTATGGTGTAACAATAAGAAAAAAGATAAATAAAACTAATACTCTTCCTAATGTTCCTACTTCTACTCCTGTTAATACATATATTACTAAACCTGAAAATGAAGTTGATTTTGCTGTTGAAAATTTTATTACAAAACATTATAAAAAAGAGTTTAGATTTAATCACCTAAAAGGTATGGCAGCTTATTTAAATTTAGATTAAATTTAGGTAAAACTGATATAAAAATAATTACAAACCATTAAATACAAGAAAACTGTAAAGAAGCTAATAGTAATGGAAACAATTTAAAACGAAATTAAAAGAATTATTAATTTGCAAGATGAATTTATAAAAACTGAAGAGAGTATGCCTATGGTTGATTTAAATAATCAATATACAGAAAATTTCAATCAAATAACTAATCAAGAGCTTAGAGAACATATAGGTGTAATGACCCCCTCTGGAACTATTGATAAAAGAACACGTCCACAATTCATAGAAGCACAAATAAATCACTTTCTGAAGAGCTAAACAAAACTATAGCTAGAATAGATGAAATAGAAAATGAAAATGGTATTGACAATAATATTGATGAATTAACTAATTTGCACGAAAGGGCCGCGGAATTAGAAATTATAATTAAAGAAGAAGAAGATCAATTAGAAAAAGAGGATGTACGAGATAAACAGGAAGAAGACATTACTAGGTTACAACAGTTTAAAGAATGGGTTAAGGAAAATATCCCTGGATTATCAGCTTTAGCTATATCTGTGGCTGGTATAATTACAACCATTGTCATAGGAGCTAGAAAAGCAATCCTACAAGGTGCTCAAGCTACTAGTAAATTTTCTAAGGCTTTAGCAAATATAGGTAAAAAATTATGGCCAGTGTTAGGACCATTATTGAATATTATCGCTCAGGCTATATCTTGGGGAGCTAAAGGTTTATCATGGGTAGCTTCTAATCTATGGATTTTAGCTATTGCTGCTGCTTTGTTAATATATGATCAGTATAAACAAAGAAGAAAATAAAATATGTTTTAATATATATGAATAGATTATTACAAGAAGAGCTTTTACCTGGTTATAAAAAGACTGCTATGACAAAAATTAAAGGTAACCGTACTTTTTATAGTATAACCTTTAACCCTAATAGTCTTAAACCGAATGAACAAGTTTATATTAATATTCCGAAATTGAAAGCAAATAGTTGCTTAGTGCCTGGTTCACTTAATCTATCGTTTGATCTTAAAATCAGTAATACAAAAAGTCACTTTATAAATAATCTCAGTCAGATTTTACAACATAGACTACAAATTAAAGTGGCTGGGGAAACCCTTTACGATTGTAGTGAACATAATATTATAAGTGTATACAAAGACTTGTGGTTACCTAAAAGTGATCGACAAGGCCTTATTGAATATGGTATTTGTAGCGAAAATTTACGAAAACTCATTTCGAAAGATGATACTGCTGCAACAAGTGGAAGTTCAGAAAAAGTATCAGACAAATTAATGTATGATATTTATGGTATAAGACAAAAAATTAATATTGATAATATTCTTAAAGACCATGGTCTGTATTGCCCTTTCAATATGAATAATAACTTTCAATACATAATAACATTACCACCAAGTGATCAAGTCCTTATCCCCCAAAGTGGTCAAAATATAGGTGATTATGAATTAGAAAATATTCAGCTTGAATATGAAACTATTGAAAACCAAGAAATTGCAAATGAGGTGACAAATTTATATTCTATAGGAAGAAGCCTATTTTATGAACATATAACCCTCTTAAAAAAGGAAAAATGGGATAAGTCAAGTACATTACAGAATATAAACGTAAATGTCCCTCGTAAAAGTATGAAAGGCATTGTACTACTATTTACAGAAGATTCAGTTAGTGATAGTGAAAAATTTCTATTTCCATTAATCGATAAAATTTCTGTGACAATAGAGGGTGTGCCAAATTGTATTTTCGCTCAAGGTATGAATAAAAAACATTTTTATGAAGAAGCAAGAAAATTTTTTGATAGAACTATTCCGATAGATTGCTTCATGACAATTGAAAAATTTTATAAGGATAAATTTGCATTAGTTATCGATCTACGCACCTTTCAAGAAAAAAATATTGCTGGTAACGGTAAAAAAATCATTAATACTCAAAATGGCGTTCTACTGAAATTAAAAAGAGCATATACAAAAGATTTAAACTGTTACATCTATGTTATTAGTGATGCTCTTGTTCAATTTGTTAATAATGATTTACAAAGTATTCAATACTAAATAACCAGTAATATATAAATGAATACACCTTTTAATATGATTATTGTAGGTATGACAAATTGTGGTAAAACCTTCATTCTTTTAAGAATGCTAGAAAAAAACTTTAGTAACCATTTTGATTATATTATTTTAGTATGCCCAACGCTATCATATAATAAAACCTATCAAGAATGGAAATATATAAATGATTCTGATTTAATTAAGGTAGAATGTGACCAAGATCAGGTAGATATTGTTTTAAAATATGTTAGTGATGTATATAAAGGTACAAATAGTCTTATTATTCTTGATGATTGTGCAAGTGGATTAGATGTTAAAAATAGGACATCTGAATTAGTTCGTTTAGCATTCAGTGCTCGTCATTATGGACTTTCTACTATTGTGGTTACACAGCAATTGACAAGTATTGCCAAACCTTATCGTGAAAATATAAGTTATTTAGTTGCATTTTATAATACAAACCGCAATAATATGAAAACAATATTTGATGATTATCTTTATGGTGTTGAGAAAGATGATATAGAAGAAATAACCAAAAATTGAAAATAATAAATTTGCTCATCTATTTATTCAACTAATATATCCATACCAATGGAAAATTGTTATTCCGCAATAAAACATGTGTTAATATATATATGCCAAAGCGTAAAGAGCCTGAAACAATTGATGATATAATTAATGAGATTGATTCCGCAAATGATACTATCAAAGATGCTGTATGTGATGATAATATACAAGATAAACCGCAAGAGGGTTTTAATAAAAGAGATCAACTACTTAAACTAGCTGAAGATGGTGATTTAGACAAGTCAGTTGCTTACATTAAAAAAGCTAGTCAAAAAATTATTGATAAATTATACATTGAATACGAGAAAAAACGATTACAAAAAGCTAATGAGTTTTTAACTGATTTAGTTATATCAAAATTTTCAGATATATTAAAAGGGTTTGATGCTATTGAAGATCCCAAAGAATTAACAAAACAGCTTAAATCAGACGACCTTTTAAAACGAGATGTTTATAGTTTAGTAGAAAAAATATCACCCCTATTACCTTTTCTAGGTTTTTTATCTGGTGGTATAACAACCGTTAAACATGTTTACGAACATAAAAATAATAAACCGGATATAAAATCTGAGGAATAATATAAATGAGCTTATTTTATGGGCATGATAAAACAGATATTAATGTAAATATAGAAGGACCTGTAGATAAAACACATCTATCAGATAACCACTACACTAAAACTCAAGTTAATAATAAATTTAATGACTACTATAATAAAACTCAAGTTGATAATAAATTTAATGACCACTACTATAATAAAACTCAAGTTGATAATAAATTTAATGACCACTTTACTAAAACACAAGTTAATAATAAATTTAATGACCACTATAATAAAACTCAAGTTGATAATAAATTTAATGACCACTATAATAAAACTCAAGTTGATAATAAATTTAATGACCACTTTACTAAAACACAAGTTAATAATAAATTTAATGGCCACTATAATAAAACTCAAGTTGATAATAAATTTAATGGCCACTATAATAAAACTCAAGTTGATAATAAATTTAATGACCACTTTACTAAAACACAAGTTAATAATAAATTTAATGACCACTATAATAAAACTCCAGTTGATAATAAATTTAATGACCACTTTACTAAAACACAAGTTAATAATAAATTTAATGACCACTATAATAAAACTCAAGTTGATAATAAATTTAATGACTATTATACAAAAAGTGAATCAAATTCCAAGTATGCTTTGACTTATGATTTATCCAAATTCTATACAAAGAATGAGATTGATAGCAGAGTAAATGGTAAAGTAGTACACCATAGCAATCAATTAAATTATAAAAATTTTAATAGCCGACAAGATACTATCAGAATTTATTTTAATAATGTTAAATTTATTGAATTTACACTTTTATTAATAAATCCGTCTGATAACTCTAAAACAATTGAATTAGATATGATGGCAGATAAGATTAAAAAAAAATTTATCATTAAACTAACAAATGATAATGAAAAAAAGATAGTTAATGCATTACTAGATTTATATCACGTATACTGTGGTGATGATGATTTAAACTATATTTATATTATTATTGAACCAACAAAATCATCAGTTTCTCTAGGTTATGACGAATGGAAAAGAAAATGGCTGGCAGCATTTAATGGATTCACCAAAATTCAAGTTTATTCACAACATCAATCTATATTATCTATGACATATAATGGTTTTTCACAAAATTTTAGGGCTACTATAGAAGATAATATTCTATCAACTAAAAAATTTGTAAATGATGAAATCGAAAAATTAAAAAAATTTATTAAAAATAACTATCAAGCTAAAACTTAAGATGAAGAATAATCCTCATGTTTGACTACATATCACATAACTGTTTGTAATAAGTAATTAATACAAAAGCGATATACAAAAAGATTCAAAATCCTGAAACAATTAGTAAAAACACTTTTAACAAAAATTATATAAAACATTGTTAAACATGTACTTGACAGACAAATTAAAAAAACATATAGATTCCATAGTTTTGTAAAACATTGTATTATTATACATGCGCTGATGAAATGTGCTATCTACATTAAACAACCATTGTTGAAAAACATGCACTAAGACACGCGCGCCGCTACAAAACCAGCTATATTTTACCCATTGTCGCGATTTAGCTTCGCTAAATCAACATTGTCCTGGCAGGGCCTTGTTAACACTTGATTTTTGAAGAACATTTTTTAAGCCTCTGTTATTCTCGAATATTCTTCGAATATTCTTCGAATCCAATGGGAGGCGACCCCAATTTTTCACTTCGTGAAAAATTTTCCCACCGTCGCCTAGAATTATCAGGGGCTCCATCCCTGCTCGATCACTTCGTGATCTGCGCTGAGCCCCTCAAAACCAATGCTTTCTTAACAATTAATTCTTAAAGACGGTTTTTTAAAGAGCATTTTTTAAGCCTCTGTTATTCTCGAATATTCTTCGAATATTCTTCGAATCTGTGGGGGAACCCCGAATTTTTCACTTCGTGAAAAATTTTCCCCACCTGGGTTCCAGAATTCTCGGGGGATCCATTCCCCTGCTCAATTTTAGCTACGCTAAAATTTGCGCTGCCGATCCCCCTCCGAACTGATGCTTTCTTAACATTTGTTTGTAAAGACCGTTTTTAAAAACATATAGATTCCATATTTTTTAAACGATTAATTGTAACCTCGAGATTTTTACCCCCTTTGAAACAATGACTATTTTTTACACAGCTTTTTTACATGACCTTTTACCAGAGGGACGTCTTTGAACCATGGTCTTATTTTACGTTGTTATAAAGATAGTTTTTACCCAAGGTTATATGTAGTATAGTACATGGGGCGTATGGGATAAAAAAAAGTAAACTTTTTTTGATCCCCTACCCCCATGTACTATACTACTAATAATATCTATAGAACTTGATAAATTTCTTCACCTACACTGTCAAATAACTATTTTGCCTTCATGCAGCAATAGACAGTGTTTTTGTCAGAGAAACCAATGCGCTTTAGTTTCCAAGTTTGTAATTTCAATGGAAAATCAATGTAGTTCTGTTCAGTAATAGATCCAAGATTCTGCCAAGCTGTTTACAAAATACAAATTACCAAGCAACAGTGTCATGGTGTTTTGAATTTTTTCTTTTTGTAGCTCTTCTAGTTCAACATACTTTCTTTATGAGTTTTCAGTAGATTTATCAGGTAATGACAATACACTTATGATACTTATCCATGGTAAATTTTAGTTGACTTATGTCGTGGACTGAAGCAAACATTTTCTCGCTTCCTTAGGACATTTTACAGATTTATCCATTTGAAGCAAGAAAAATAGGTGCAAAACTGTTTACAAACAGTCAAACACACAAAAGCATGAAATAATGTATAAGTTTGACGAGATTGACAGGTCTAGTAAAGAATGCCGTTTGATTTTCACTTTTAAAAGGCTAAAATGTCAAAATAACTTAAATGTTACATCCAAAATATGCGTTTCTCTACCGTCGATTTTCTTTATTTGATGTGTGTCTGTACTGTGTTTTTCACGCAATGCCGAAGCATTATTTTCACATGATGCTGTCGGTGTCGTAAATGTTTTTTTTCTCACTTGTTTTCGTTCATACAAACAGTATTAGAAATCAGGAGGGAGTGAATATTGAAAAAAATTTTTAAAGTGGAAGTTTTGACCACCAAAATCCGCCATTACCGCCATGTTTTTGACCACGGGGTCCAGGCCCCTTTTCCCCTCCAGGTCTTATAGAGCTCAATGGTGCAGCCAGATCGTAATATAATATATAGTTCTACGGATGGGTTTTGGCAAATAAACCCAAATATTTTTTTAGATTGGCCATTTTTTATATTTTTTGTGTGGATACAGTTATCACATCAAGCTTTCAACAATTTACCATTAATTCGATGTCCGTTTTGATAAATGAGGGTTTATTCGGAATATTTACAAAGTAGATATGTATCTGACGAGATGCGTACTCGGTATATGGTATGTTGTCAGTTTTAATTTTATCATATAAGAATTCTGCAGAGAATCTTGAAGATATTTGTTGTAACATTTGAAGTCTCGGTCGTGGCTGAAACAAGTGACAAATCAAATTATCTTCCAGTTAGTTTATATATTGCAAAGAACTTTAGGCTGGACATTCAAATCACCAAAATTGTCTACCCAGGTGTTTTAAAATATCAGAAGCGATGCTGCATGGCCACTATGAAGGTCGCCTGATGCCAAAATATTTTGTATTCATCACAGTTGTGACTTGTGAAGCTTGAATGAATTTTTGAGCAAGTTGGAACATCAACAGCAACATGTTGGTCCACCATTAGAGAGCTTGAATAGCAATTTGTAAAACAAATACTATCATATGGTCCACATGACTTAACTTTATTATTTCTGCCTTTTTAAATTCAATCAGGAGATTATTTATGTATTTGACATAGATGCTTATTGATGATGTGAGAAGTGGTGTATCTGTGTTTCACCTTTTGGCATAGAATAGAGAATATATAGAAGGGCAACTCGCTGGTGAAACGTGTGGCATATTTTCTGTGCGCATGCGTTAGGTCCGCCTACGGTGGCCCACAAGGGACATGCAACTTACATAAGGCAGATGACGCAAATACGGCTATGTCATCAATCAATAAGTACATTTTTTTTCAAATGACTCGTGCTACTGCAAATAAAAACAACTGCTGAAAAAGAAAGTTTTCTGCTGCAATTTAGTTCGGCTGCTGCAATATAAACTTAAGTCTGTTGCTGCAAATTAAGTCGGTTGCTGCAAGTTAAGTCGGTTGCTGCAAGTTAAGTCTGTTGCTGCAAGTTAAGTCTGTTGCTGCAAATTAATCTGCGGCTGCGATTTGCAATTGTCGTATGCTGCTGAGTAAATAATAAAAATGGCTGCTGAAGATAACGAAAACGCTTTAAGGACTTTAATAGAAAATTATTTTTATTCAGGATATAAATACAACGAAATAGTCTTACTTCTAGACAAGCATCATGCCGCAAAAATGTGTTGTAGAACTTTAAAAAGAAAACTCAGAGAATATGGTTTCAAAAAACGAAAAAATGATGATTGTATTGATGACGATAGGCTAAAAGAAACTATTCGTCAGCTAATAAATGATGCTGGAAGCTTGTCAGGATATCGAACAATCTGGCATACCCTGCGTCGTCGATTCCACGTACACGTTTCACGTAAAAAAGTGGCATTAATAATGAAGGAAATTGATCCACAAGGTGTCCAGCAAAGGAAAACTCACTGTCTCCAACGACGAGTATATCGATCATACGGTCCAAACTTTTGCTGGCACATGGACGGTAGGAAAAATTGAAATTTACTAAAGTACAAAAGATGGCTACGTTGATTTATTTGGTTTGCCTGTTTTGATTGGTTATAAAACATAACATAATGTTTTATTTCATATTAATCACACCATTGCTAATTGTTACAGGCTATGACAAATTAAAGCCCTATGGATTCCCTATTCATGGGGCTATAGATGGTTACAGCCGACGGATAATTTGGCTTGAAGTGGTAAAATCCAACAACGACCCAAAAGTGCCTGCAAATCTTTTTCTTAAAAGTGTAAAGAAAACCTCGGATGTCCACTTCTATTATGGAGTGACTGTGGCACAGAGAATGGATTGGCGGCTTCAATGCAATGTTATTTTAGAGATAATGGGACAGATGACTTGGCAGGAGAGAATGCTCATCGCTATGGTTCTTCTCACGCAAACCAGAGGATAGAAAATTGGTGGTCGTACTTTCGTCGTAGTCGAAGCAACTGGTGGATTAATTTTTTTAAAGGTCTAGTTCACGATGGGGTTGTTCTTCATGGAAACTTAATTCACATGGAGTGCCTCTGGTTTTGTTTCCAATCTGTGCTACAAAATGAACTCAATGATATAATTGACCACTGGAACACTCACTATATCCGACGTTCGCGATATGATACTATACCTGGCGTGCCAAATCTTCTTTACTTTTTACCAGAGTTAACTGGTGGAGCTGACTACATTGTCCAAGTGCCAACAGACAAAATTAACGAAATGGAGGAAGAATGTGAGATGGAAGAAGGACTAAATGAATACAAAGAGTATTTCGAACATGTAATGGAAATAAAAGGACTACGTCTTCCAAATAATGCAACTGAAGCATTAGCACTATTTCAATGCTTAGTAGAAGCTGCTAATGATAAGGATTAAATGTTAACGGGAAAATCGACAAAAAAAAACATGAGTTTCACGTCATGGACAAACAAGGCACGACGTTTGACTTTTGCTGTAAATGTTGTTTATGTACGTACGCTTCTCATAACACACTAGAGTGTAAGCGAATAACCATAACATCAACAAAACGATTTCGCAATGATCAAGTCGATTAAAGTATTAGTTTCAATTGTCAGATCTGCTTTTCAGATAAGTCCAAAATCACACGAATCCCCAATGGCAGAAACCATTAATTCTTCCATTTCACATTCCGAAGCTATATGAACAGGTAACTTCACCAGCAAGTCACATGTTGACGTAGATGGTCTACATTTGCAGCAATCTTTGCAACCATGGATGAAAGCAACATTTAACTTATTGGGAAAACCTAACGGCGGTACTTCCTTGGAGCCACTGCACCATTGAAGGAAATCTGTCATAGTTAAATTTTGCAAACCTGAAATGCATTAACATTATTACCTCAGCGGCAAAAACATAGCTTATAACACACGCTGTAGATGTTGAAATAAAATTGCACCGCACATATAACAGTGCAACTTCATTTGTTAATGAGCTGATTGTTGTGTTGCAGAGTTTTGGTAATGAAAGCGTAGATCGATGCACTCCGAATTTGGTAAATTTTTGTCTTCAAAACATCGAAATGGATCTATAACATCACCATTAAACTTATTTTGTTATCCTTTAAGCTTAGCAACTTCTGCACGGATGAAACATGCTGTAGAATATCTTATTTTTAGAATACAATTTATATGTGCACTATACATATTGTGTTCCTGCACTCTTTATGTAAGCCTTATTGTATAGAATTAATGTGCTTATATTAGTATCCTTACCATCTTCAAACTTTTGTATTACATCATTGAAGAATTTAAAGGTATCCACTTCCTTCATCTTCAAAGCTTGAGAGCTACTATATTGAGGTTGCAGATGGTCAAGAAACTCATCAGCACTAAACTTGAAAATATCACTCGGCACAAACACTGCCTTCCATACATGTGGCTGTTTTCTTATCGCGTCAAGAAGATTACAGTTAGACAAGCCTTCTTGAAGTTGTTGCAGCTGGGCTACGCTGTTAGAGATTTGATCTTTTATACCAATAGATCTAGTGAAAAAGAACAAATCAAAAGCAATTAATGCATGTTAGCAGAGACAAATAAAAAGGGGTTATTTTCCTCTAAGTGAGCAGCACACACTAAGCTAGCAACCCATTTATGCAAGAGTGGAGAGTAAACAATTTTGCAAAAAAATTCGTCATTTTAAACTCCTGATGTAGTTATGACTATCATGCTATGATTATGTAGCAGGAGTGTTTGTCAGCAGCCACTCCCAGGGGTGTGTGAAAATGAAGGTTACTTTGATTTTTTACACGATGCCAATTGAAAGTATATTGATACATTAATACTAAGATGAAGTACTTTTAAAAACAATTTTAGATAAAAAAATATTAGCAGAATAAAAAAATTACACATACTGCACTATGTCTTTGGATGATTTGATGCTTTCTTTTTGAGGCACACCGGTGTATCCAACATTCTGCAAAACATCTAATATCTCATCTGCCAATATGAAGTACATCATCTGTTATACAGGATGATAACTAAAATAGAAAAAAGAGCAATTTCACTTTCTCTAATACAGAACATAAAACTAAACTTTATGCAATAA